GCACCTCCGCAGTCGATCATGTTCAGCTCATCTGGTCTGTCCAGCGGCCAGCAGTCGTATTCACTGTTATCCAGATCATGCCATCCAAACACACCCAGCACAAAACACACCTGCAACACACACACACACACGCACGCACACACACTCCTGCTTCATCATATTCACGCATGTGTTTAAAGGCACAGTGCATGCACAATACTCTTCATGTCCTCTTTATAAAGCTCATTATGAGTTTCTCCTGTTAAACACAAGAGGAGATAGTCTGAAGAATGCTGGAAAACTGGCTTTGACATCCATAAGACACAAAACATACAGCTTATTTCCAGCATTCTTCAAAATATCTTCCGTTGTGTCAAACACTGCACATATTCCTCTCACTCTGTCTTGTTTCTAGTCCAAATATTAAACAATTGACTAAAATCAGGAAGAACTTTCTAGACAAACAAGTAAAAACGCCACAGTTCACCTCTTAATCCCATCAGATAAAAGCAGCAGCAGCTCAGAGCACATGATTACCTGCTGTCATGACTTTACACTCAGTGAATGTGCTTATAATGGGTCAAAAACAGCAGCAACATCACCAGAGGAGAGTCAATCTGAGCCCGAGTCGTTGAACATCTTCAAAGCATTTTCCCAAAACATGAGTCAAAATCAGATTCATCGACAAAAATCATCCCATTTGCTGACAAATTAGGCCAAATTAAGCCTCAAAATCAGCCCAGAGTGGATGAAGACGACCCAACAGCACACACAGGGTTAAAGGTAAAGGTAATATCAGTAAATGAGCTGTGAGTATTAATCTTACCATGCAGACGTGCAGATCTCTGACGGACACACTCATGTCGACGGACACGGCTGAAATGAAATTCAGACTGAAGGATGGAGAGGATACACACACGCGCACACACACGCACACAAACACGCACACACACACAGCACAACAAACCTAAACAATCTTCTTTTTCATATAGCTGAGGGCTCTCCTATGCACTATTTGTTCTGTTAAACATCGTTTGGGAAATGTTTCAACAGATTCAGTAATTTTTCACAGTGTGTCTGATAATATTTGTTCTTCTGGAGAAAGTCTTATTAGTTTTATTTCGTCTAGAATAAAAGCAGTTTTTAATTGTTTTAAACTCATGTTAAGGTCAATATTATTGGCCCCTTCAGCAATATTAGTGTTGGATTGTCTCCAGAACAAACCACTGTTATCCAAACACTTGCCTAATTACCCTAACTTTACCCTAATTACCCTAGTGAAGCCTTTACATGTCACTTTAAGCTGAATACTAGTGTCTTGAAGAATATCTAGTCTAATATTATTTACTGTCATCATGACAAAGAGAAAATAAATCAGCTATTAGAGATGAGTTATTAACACTATTATGATAACTAAAAAACCTGAATAAGATTTGGAAAATATTTGAAAATGTCATATTTTTTTCTCCAGCTGTAAATTTATCTCACGTTTTTGATAGAAATGCACCTGGTGTAAAAAAAAAAAAAGTACATATTAATTCTATTATATAAATTAGACCAAACTGAAAAAATAACATTGAAACAACAAATTAACTAGTTAAGGCGGCACGGTGGTGCAGTGGGTAGCACAATCGCCTCACAGCAAGATGGTCGCTGGTTTGAGTCTCGGCTGGGTCAGTTGGTGTTTCTGTGTGGAGTTTGCATGTTTTCCCCGTGTTGGTGTGGATTTCCTCCGGGTGCTCCGGTTTCCCCCACAGTCCAAACACATGCGCTATAGGGGAACTGATCAACTAAATTGGATGTAGTGTCTGAGTGTCTGCAAGACTGCGTGGGTGTTTGGTTTGCAGCTGGAAGGGCATCCCCTGCGGAAAACATGTGCTGGATAAGTTGGCGATTCATTCCGCTGTGGCGACCCCTGATGAATAAAGAAAATGAATGAATGAATGCATTAATTCACTTTCTTTTCGGCTTAGTCCCTTTATTAATCCGGGGTCGCCACAGTGGAATGAACCGCCAACTTATCCAGCATATATTTTTTATGCAGTGGATGCCCTTCAAGCCACAACCCATCTCTGGGAAACATCCACACTTATTTGCACTCATTCACACTCACACACTGCGGCCAATTTAGCTTACCCAATTCCCCTATAGTGCATGTGTTTGGACTGTGGGGGAAACCCACGCCAACACAGGGAGAACATGCAAACTCCACACAGAAACAATAACTGACCCAGCCGAGGCTCGAACCAGCAACCTTCTTGCTTTGAGGTGACAGCACTACCTACTGCACCACTGCGTCGCCGGAATGAATGAATATAAATAAATATATATTAGTGTTGTAAAACGATTAATTTGGATTAACAAGATAATGTTCTGTATTATATGCATTGTTGACTGTGTATATTTATGTACAGACATTAATAAACACAGACATACTGTAGATAAAATACAAGAATATACAAAAGAAATACATTTACATGCATATGTTTTACACAGCGGATGCCTTTCCAGCTGCAACCCA